ATTGGCTACAGCTTCGATCGGTAATCCATCCCTCATGGTAAAAGATTGGAACAGCCTTTATGAGTCACCCTGTATATCCTCCTCACAGGACCGGCGCGTTAAAATATCATCAAAAACCTACCGTAATATTTTATGCTATACAAATATAATGTAAAAACGTGCAGATTGAAGGGGTTACACATACATATTCATCCGAAAAATCGTATCGTCACTCTAAGATTAACATTGTAGCGAGCAATCGGTTTGTCACAAGTTAAAGTAAATTTAAAATATAACGATCTCACTGATTGGCTGTACGAAAGAAACTTTCCTCGGTTTCCGAGGGATGTTAGGAGAGATGTTAGGTAGGCAGTTAAGAAAAAGCAAAGAAGAGCTAAAAGAGACGTATGAAGGTATTAAGGGTCGCCTGCAATTACGCGGCTTAATCTGTCGTGTTCGCACGACGGCCAGAAACGTTCATCTCTACCTATATTCATTAACGGTTTTCTTCTTTTAATTACTATAATTACTGCTTCTCCGCAACACTGCCAGCGTCCTACCGACGTTATCCGCCGTTGTGCGCACACGCGCCGGCTTTATTTTCAGGAAAAAGACCCGTCCTTTAGATCTTGCCGAATGATATTTGAATTTGCCGAAGCTCAAGAACACCATCGAAAATAACGAGGTCGAGACGAAGGTCTCGTTAATGGCATCTTCCTCGCAGCTTTTGCACATAATGTTCCGAGTTGTCACGAGTGATATCGACACGGGACGGATACATATTTTTACAGACGTCCCACCTGACTGTACAGCGATGGCTGCTACGAAAACCAGCTGACAGGGTTGTGCAGTAAATTTCTATCAAAATTTCTACCAACGTCCGCGGGAATTATTTACGTGTCGTTTACGTGCGCCTTTTTCACGCAGACAATAGTATCAATGTGAATTATTATAAATCAAACGATTGGCTGATCGATTTCTTTAATCTGTATTTTCGAATGTTCGACGATCCATCGTCATAAACATAATTCACATGGTTTACATGTACATGTAGATTATATTTTAACGCGTAAACGCCCAACCTCGCCAGCGGGTAAAGAATCCATTCGCATCTCTCGTTAGTGAAGTTTTATTTGTCGCGCACACATACGTATACTTATACTCTGAATTCTCGTCCTTCGTCCAGATCAGTGATCCCTCGGCCGATTTCGCGTCTCTAAAAACGACATTTAAACGTCCTCGCGCGCGCATTAGCTTTTCCAAAGGTGCGACACCTCGGCGGACACCTCGGGGTCGCGGCCTTTTCATAGGAGTAACTGATCGCGCGTCTTCGCCTGAAACGTGCGAACGTCGTGACCAATGCAGTGCGTCGAGCGAGACGCGCTGCAACTCCCGAGGCGCGTTTCCTTTTCTTTTTTTTTCCGTAAATTAAGAGCCACACACGTGCAATTCCGCGTTAAATTAAGAAACGTGATTCACAAATAGCGGCTGGGATTATGCGGGGTAACGTGTGTGACTCAGAGGCACATCAAGGAGGAACTTGAAAACGGACGGCGGCGAAAAAACGATAAAGCAATGACACGGTGCTCGGCGACCGCTGGCTTTAACGTCTCCTCGAGGACGCTCCTCGTCGGGCGACGTCATCTTTTTGAGAGTGCACAGCTGCAAGCGGAGAGTGTGGGTCGCAGACAGTCCGCAGGAGCCGCGCCGCGCGTCATAAATTTAGTCCGTCGCGGCGGACGCGGCGCACTTTATTTCCCAGCACGAACGAAAAGCGCCAGCCGCCGACGCCGCCGTGCCGCGCCACGCCGGCCGGAACCCGCGACATTTGGCTGAATTGTAAGTCAATTGTAAGAGGAGTTTACTATCGATCGAGGACGCGCCGCGCCGGCATATCGCGTTGCTCGGTGGGAAAGCTGCGTCCGCTGCCTCCCGAGAGCTCCGCTTAATTAAACCCTCGAGAAGTGGAATACATCGTGCCGATCGTTTCGTTCCGATACGGCGGCAAATGTTATTAAATCACCAAGATTCGTGGGCAAATAAGTATGGCTGGTCGCGCGCGAGTACGGATAGGCGATAGATATGGCGCGCCTAACCGTAGATCGCTTTCGAAGGGGAAGAACCGTTTTCCATATACCGCATCGCGGCCGATGCGCGGCGCCGAGACATCGAGAGAAGCCGCACTCCGGCGGATAGAAAGCCGTCAGGATGGAGTATCAATATAATTATCGCCGTTATGACCATTAACACCCTTCACCGCCGTAACGGTCGCCGGTCATGGAACAGCGATGGCGAGTCTCCTTGTTTACGTTTTGTCAATCGCCGTGGAAGAAAATAATTCGAGGCGCCCGAGTCCCGGCAGAGCGCCACACCGAACCGCGTGTGGGACCGCGCGGAGGGGAGAAGACCCGCACAAGTTGAGACGTGGAAGCGTTACGAGAAAGACTGTACGATGGTGCACAGTTGAAAAATTTGTGTTAAACTTAACAGATATCACATGTCCCAAACGGCCCACACAAATTTTTGTGTTAATTTAACACAATGTATTGGGGTGAATGCATTGGGAGGTTCGGAAAGTTTTCGCCGCGCACATTTAGATGGCTCTAGCTGCATATTTCGAGGGCACAAACAGCTATGACTTGAGTCACTTTGAAGGTCCGACATATATCAACGAAATTCAGTAAACAGACGTCATGCTTTGTGTACGAAATTACAAATTTTTAATCGAAATAGAAATGGATCGCAACAAGTTGTTTTTCCGTTGTGTACTTCTTCACTATTTTGATGTAAAAAAAAGTGCAGCTGCAGCTCATCGATTACTTGCGAAAACTTATGGTGACTCGGCTCCATCAGAGAGAACATGTAGACAGTGGTTTGAACGATTCAAAAAAGGTGATTGTGACATCAATGACAAAGACCAATCGGGTCACTCGATAGGGGGGGCGTGGTATATTATGAGCTGTTGAATTCGAATGAAACAGTCAATGCCGAACGTTATCGTGATCAATTAGAGCATTTGAATGCCAATTTGATGCATCAAATCGCCGAAAAGTGATTCTTCTCCATGATAATGCTCGACCTTATGTTGCTCCCGTACCCAGCGTACTCACTGGACTTGGCTCCATCGGATTATCATCTATTCCGCTCAATGCAACACGATCTGGAGGAAACACACTTCGCAAATTACAGAGAAGTCAAAAAATGGGTTGCTGAATGGATCAACTCAAAAAAACAAGCCATTCTATCGACGCGGAATCCAACTTTTGTCAGAAAGATGGGAAAAGGTCGTAGCTCCCGAGGGCAAATACTTTGATCAATGAATTCATTCATTCATTTTGTTATTTGAAATAAATGCGTATTTTAAGAGAAAAAACGGCGGAAACTTTCCGAACCACCTAATATTAACGGCGAGAGCAACCTACTATTATTTCTCCTACTGGACCGCTTACGAGAGCCAATCAGGATGCAGAGTTTTCGGTTAGGTGACTTAAGGCTAAATCCCGATTGGCTCTCGTAAGTAGGAAAAAATAGTATAGTTCGCCGTTGGCTTTAATATAACATCGGCTAAAAACGCCTTTATTAAAATCTTGCGATTTCGAATGCCAACAGAGAAACGTACGTCAATCAGATATCGCATTATCTTATCATAAGTGTAAAAGTATATCGGGGAAAAAAAGATATTCCGAAAAAATTGACAGTCTCGGTATAACACGACGGCATTGCAACATTCATCGCGGGTAATATTTTTGCTGTACCTAATGGCTACCCGACGTGAATTCTGCAACGACGAGAATAGTTGCGCTGGCTGCGCTTATTTGAGAGAGTAATTGAATTTATGTACGAGTTCAAAAGTTAATTAAAGTCGCCGAGTTTAGCGACGATCTATCTATTAGCGTCCATACAACACCATCCAATTGATTTCGATAGTCGAGTGAACATTCAGCGTTTTTACTCTTTTTACAGACGCTCCGTGCGTCTGTAGACAATATCATAACTCGATACAATCGATTGCACGGCATGAAGAGAGAAAAAAAAGAGTAAGATGCAACTGGATCGCCCCTTGTTCACAATATTGCAACGAAATCGATGAAATTTCAGCTCCAGGCCGCTCGCGTGCAGAAACCCGGTGTCCCGGGAGGCTACGGACGCGAAAAGATCGTTATTCGGCCGGAGCGATCGAAAAATAAGGTGGCAGGTGTAAGCCAACGAAAAATAACTCAGCGACTGCCTTAATAAAAACGAGAAGATGGCACGACCAAAACTAGTTACGACCCGGCAGCACCTGTTCGTGTTTGTTTCCCGAGAAAGGACAGCACGATTACGTATAAATATTGAAACCTTATATTCTGCCGGAGAGAGTGATAATATATGCACTGATTAAAAAAATATCTTACTCCAAAAAAATTTGCCATTAGGTGGCTCCTAATAGCTTATTAACTTAAGTTTAAAAAATAATAAACAAATTAAAACACGCATTGCTTTAATGTATGTATCTATTAAATATCGAAGAATAGATCACTTTAAATTAAAACATTTTTGTTTGAGTTCTATAAAATGTTTACTAAGATGTAATTTTCACAGCGGCGAAAATTGGATTTCTTATTTAACAAAAACAATTATTTTATTCAATGAATAGTATTCTGTATCACGTTATTTGAATGTAGAAAATGTAATGATTCAAATTAATTTACTCAATACACTACATAGATTTACTTGAAATTTGATATTTTTATTTAAATAGAATAAATATTGGCTTCGGTAAAAAAATAATTTTAAGTAAATCTATTTAGTTAGTTAAAAAAAAATTGTTTTGCCAGTGTGCGATGTTTGATAATTGGATGCATGCAAAAAGTATAAAGCAAGACACGTAGGGTGGCAGTTAATTATACAAAATCGCAAAGACTCGCGGTTCAATTTTCAAAGCCGACATATTTCGTGGGGATTTCTGCATGGTCTATGCAAGAGTACGAGGAGCGATAAAGAGCGGCGCGATATCTCTGACGTGTGGGAAAACAATTTACCTGGTCGGAGAGGGCGGACGGCGTTCGACAATTTGGCTATATCGGCCGTGTCGTAACGAACAATTTCGGGGATCTGCACGTAAGAGCCCAAAAAACAGGAAACCACGTTCCTGGCGTACCCCACCTCCCGTTGCACGCGTGTTCTGCCGCCATCCGGTGAAACCTCGCCCGGTAACGACTTCCGGAATCGTATTACCGTGTGCTCCTGAAAGAAGAAAAAATAAACCCAATAAAACCAAACAACGTCGACCGCATATTTCGAAACGCTTCATCTTTTGACAAACATCGAATGGAAATGTCAATTATATGTATAAGTACACGGCATAGAGCGCTAAAAAATTATGTCTTACTAACGCAGCTAGATTTCTAGCTGCGCAACAATAATTTATCGTTATTTTGTGTATCTGCTAGAAATTTGTAGTCTACAAAATTTATAACAGCGACGTTCTAGTAATATCTTCTGGAAAATTGAGGTTTTATGACGAAGTATTAATCATTCACATTGTATAAAAATGAATTTCGCTCCCAATCCGAACCATCTTGAGAGAATCTTGTTTTAATGATCTCCCATCCTCTACTAATGAGAGGTGAACACTTAGAAGTTATGTTCTCAAAGAGTCTGAATTACAATATACAGTTCATTAAATACTTTTTGGTTTATGTCCAAAGGTAAGAACTAATCATTTTATTGCTACGTAGCCGCTCAGTAAGCGATTGTAGATACTGAATGTATCTATTAATATGACCGCACTGCTTTGCTTATTATAACGAAAAATATAATTTTTAGACTGAAAATACATATACAGGGTATCTCGAAATTTGCGAATCAAAATACCATGGCAAGAAAGTGGTAAAAAACAAGAAAGTATTTGCCATTTTTCTTTCCAAGTATTCTTTGAGATAAGAAGGTTCAATTAAACCTGCTCGGAAAATGGCAAATACTTTTATAATTCGTATTCGTAACATTTAGATTCAAAATTTTCGAATAGTTCAGATACAAATCATAGAAAATTTCCCATTTGATCCAATTCGATTCGTATTCGACTCGCACATCTCATAAGTAAAGGCAATTGCGTGCGAAATTACATTGCATTTATAGAATCATACGCTGAGGGAAAATCGCATGATCGTAGAAACAAGATTCAAGGCGGACAGTAACGCGTCCACAGCTATTTCCTTCCGTCGGTGGTCTCGGTCTGTCTGAATAAACGACCCTGCATTTTCTATGCGCCTGTAAGTATGTAAGGTGGCTCGCGTTATCAGGTGCAGATCAATGCCTCCTAACCTGGCGACACCGCAGCCGACGAGTATGTAGGTCGACTTTATGAAAAATTCTCAGGTTAAAGATAACGGCCAAACCGCTCTCGTCCGTTGTTTCCAAGCATGCTCGACTTTGTCATCACGGACTTTACGAACGCTACCGATCGATGAACGTAGCCTAGGTTCTAAGCCACTGAAAATTAATTCGCCCGGCTTCTCTAATTTTCAATCGACGTCAGGTATTATATTATGGTAACAAGTGTTTTGATACGTAGTTTGATATTTGAGTGATCGTCCTTTTCTTTAAGCTTCTCTCGTTCTCTTTTTCACTACGTGTCTTTTCACAATCTCCAAACGAGAACAATGCCAATGATTCAGAAACATTTTGAAATCTTTACACAAGCCTCTTGGATGAAACGCATAAACGCAAATTAATAATATAATAACAAATATGTAGATAAATAAATGTTAATTTCGTGTCTTTTGGCTTTGAAAGAATTTACACATTTACACATCCAACGACACAATATAACGTTATTTTCCGAAAACGCGTCACAAGTCTAACAAATCATTTTATTGTATATTAATGATTTTTACTTTTAATAATAACTTTAACATAATTTCTTTATACATTTTTTTATTGTACCATTTATTATATTACGTTTGTTTCTTTTCATTTCTACTCTAAAGTAATTGTCTAGCTTTTTTTAGTTTTAATATTACAATAAATACCTGTCTGTTAGTGCCTATATTTTAGAAAATGGCAAACGGTACCAGATCTTTTCAACTGCAAATTTGTATCTCAACGCAAAAGTGTCCGTCGTCGAATTTCATTCGAGATTTCGAAAGGCAGTCATTACTCGCAACAATTTCGCAAGGCTTGGACAAGCAGGCAACTGTAACCGTTACTTAACAAGCGTAGCGCATTATGCGCTGTGATTTTCGGCACGGCGGCCGACACACTCGATCACGGCTATCGGCAAGTATCGCGAACCATGTCGAATTTGGTAATCTTATATGGAAAAACGAGCGATGACTAAGCGCCATCGATCCAGCACCTTGCGTCCGTTTTTACGATTTCGATCTACGATCGCGTCCTAATTACGATTCTAGATGAGTATCGAACCCGTAAAAATCAGATTTGGTCGCTTTCCCGAACGAACTGATCGCGCTCCAAATTACTATACGGTTCAACGTTGAAAATAATTGTCGAGCGAGCGAGATAGATCGATATTTCGTTATTTGGTGGCTCGCTGTGATTTTCGAGGCGAGCCCTAATCACTCTCAAAGTATCGCAATCAACGACGACATTAATTACCAGGGTGCGCCGGGTTTTCTATGCGGTAAACCGGCTGTGCTACTAACCAGCCGACATTTTATCGTGCAAAAAGACAGGAGATGAATGCCCAATCGCCCGTCGGCCCAATAATGACGTACGGTGAACGCTCGACAGGCAGTTACTACGCGTTCCACTTTGCTGACCGTTCGCGCCAACTATTGATGATTCGATTACAATCTCCAGAGGTGAGCAACGTCGATGTACAATTATTGAAAGAAAAGCAGACAAAAAAAACGCAGACGCTGGATGGAAATACATATATACAAAATTAGAGACCGACTATTGCAAAGCTGTTGAACAAATCGACAGAGTCAGCGACTTATATCTTGAGGTCTATGAATTTCAAATTGACACGATAATTGTCAGAAGATATTTATGTATAACATAATGCAATATAAAGGTAAATATAAGCTGTGATAAAGCTGATTATAGAATGATTGAGTGAGATACCGCGCATCGCTCCGGAGTCGCGCTGCTAGTATACTAGGTTTCTTACACTGAGAAAAATGTCCGATTAAATATAATTGTATAATCCAATTACATAATAACAAACGGATATATCCAATTAAATTGTATATCCGATGAAAATATGATCGGTTTTTCAATCAAATTTCATCGGTAACTGCATTTCATCGGATAAATTCATCGGATGTATCCATAATTTAATCGGAAAAATTAACCATCGGAAACACCGTTTAATTGGTTTATCCGATAAAAATTTTTCTCAGTGTACGTTTTTATTATTTATAGCTGTTAGATTAAACTTTTTCGGCAAGGCTAGCAGCCTACCGAAGATGAAGTAAAACCAAATACTCAAAATACCAGAACTGGATAAAACGGGCTTTAAGTCTAATACACGAGGAAGAAGAAGAAATTATACTTATCGGGGTGTTGGATTTTTAAGTAATTTACTAAATTCATCCGATTAAAACATGATTATTTTTTCCAATTTTTTTTAAATAAAAATTTTTACAGAGGCGATCGGGATATCGGAAAATCAGGAATTCCTGGAACGTACGCGGATTATTGAACCATCTTCTATCGAGTTTTGAGTTTATCGTTTAGTAACACTCAACATTTCCTTGTTGAAGTGAGAAAAAAAAGCAAACACGAACGCTTCACGCATACGAAACCAGAAATAATATACGTATTTAATTAATTTCAGTTGACGAAGAATCTCATTAATCTAATAGGCAACGCCGTTAATATACGACTGTCAGGAAAGCGTGTTAAACAGAGCAACGCCTAAGCTTTTCAACATGCGCGGACGCTGCATATTACATGCGGCATTGTTTTACAACGACACTCGCCGCCATAATTCACAGGCGTTCAACGCACCCGCGCGAAAATACACAATAAAATTTGGAACGTTCAATTTCTCGCGCCTCTCGGCAAATCTCTCAAGAGCGTGTGACCCAGCGTGAACCGCCAATCGATATATAGGCTAAGCCGGCTGACGTGGCTGCAAGTTTTTCATGCGTCACGTCTATTAATGCGGCTGTATACATACTTATATACCTGCCTGCGTGCGTCGTTTTTTCGTGCGGGGTCTGCCAACAAAAGTATCTCCAAGCGGAGAAAATACATGCCATTACAGCATGCATAAAAATATTGCGTAAGTCGGAGCAATTAGCATTTTAATTGAAATTGTTCAAATAATCAAATTATATAAATTAAACTCTCGCGATAGAAACTAATGGCTAGAAAGCGATACGTTTTATTAAGTATCGCTGTTGCTATTAATGTTAATATGTGCTGTGATGATCGCGTGTTTGAAAATATGTAAAAAATACATACCGGCCGTAATAAATTTAAATGTAATATCTATTAATTTCATGCCGCCTCAGTTTTTTGACAATAATTGACGATGTAGCCTTGCCAGTGATGGATTCACGACGCGCGGCGCTATATAAAGATTGAATGGCAAACGATCCGTAACGCGAATTAAATTAATTGCCTGCAGTAGAACAACACTTCGGCCGGGACGAAGCACGGCAAAAAATGCTAATCGCTTCTACAGTTGCGTAAGCGAAATTAAACGGGAGATCACGAGGCGCGTTTCGACCTCGTTGAAACGCTCGACGTGACTGCCGCTTAGATTAAGCTGTCTGTAATGCTTCTACGCGAGCAGTTTTTAATAGTTCATCTACGTACGCGAGTGACCCCGAGTGGCTAAATAACATCCTTCTTTTTTTTTTCTTTTACGCGAAGCAACGCGACCGAGTCGAACGGCCGTGTGTGCAAGTCCGATAAGGATAACACGCTGTACTATCGGGTCAAGCCAGTAAATGTACAGTGTATCGCATTCGATACGCTCTCAATGCGTGGCTTTCAGCGCTTTCTGAGGATACCCTTGTCAACTATCTCCCGTTGTGCAAACGCGGTACCGTACAAACACAACGTAAAAGTGACGTAACCGCGCTATCGCGCGAGAGAGAGAGAGAGGAGGGGGGGAGGGGGAGGGAGGAGAGAGAGAGAGAGAGAGAGAGAGAGAGAGAGAGAGAGAGAGAGAGAGAGAG